GTAACTTTGATGCAATATCATTTTCATCTAATCAGTAACATTCTGAAATTACCATGTTGTTTTCCATTAGAAATACCATCATCCAACAAATCAGATAAAATTATTTAACATAGCTATATTGCAACCTCAGCTAACATTAGCCTGGGCATGGGTATAGACAGAACAGCAGATGGTGAGTGAATTGACAAATGTTTATAGGGAGAAAAGGTCAGACAGTAGCAACACTTTTATATACTCCTTTGAATAAGGTGCCTATATCCGATCTAGAGTCACTAATAATCAAATAAAGTCTTATCAGGGTTTTTCCATCTGCATATAGAGAATACTGATTACTGACACCGATAAAAGGCAAATGTTAACTTTTACTTGTATTCACAGATACAGGGACAGAGACATTCCCATTAGCTTTTATACCATAGTGTTTGCTATTTTTTTAACAAACAAAACAAAGTACGTGAAGAGAAATCACCTTGCAAAGCTTGGACAATTGTTTTAAGTCAGGAAAAGTGATGAAGTTGCTGCTGCATGACTGTGTCTTCGATACGTATGTGTGGTGGTTATGACAGTTTTACACTACTCTAGTTTCTGTGGACAATTTTGCAAAGTTCATATTCATGACAGCTAGAGCCAGGCCATGCTTAGCCTTGCATGTCCAAGCACTCTTAATTGTTACTGATATTTATTTTCTGTTACAGTAGTGCCTTGAGACAAAGTCAAGTGGGTGCCATGTTTGCCCAAAATGAGAGCTTGACAAAGTGAGCAAGGAATTGGAAACTGAGACACCTGGAGATCAAGTGGTTTATTCAACAGCATACAGGGAACCTTTATGTGAGTTGGAAACAAAATGCAGCTCATCTGAGTAGAATCTCTCTCTTCACCCACAATACACACTTCTCTTTCTAATGGAAGTTTTCCCAAGAATGAGACATTCCCAACTGAGGTATAGGGAGTGTTACCTCTTGATCATATCATTCAGTTCTCTCAACAAGTCACATGGGGATCTGACTTAATAAAAAGCACGGAAAAGAGAACTAATCACGTCCCATTTTTTCACCTACCATAGAAGCTGAACTAAGGGTTTAGGGCATATGGATAGGCATTACAAGAGCATGCAACTTTCCCTCTCAAAAGAGACTTCCAGGATCACTGCAGTTGTCATCTTAGTTTCTTTAGTTTGGCTAAATTTTTAGCAGTCCAAGGTATAGGAAAATCTAAGAATGCCGGTACATTTTTAGGTGGCTTGAAATCCAGTATAATAGGCTCCATCAAAAAAAAAAAAAAGGAAAAAGTCACTTTTTTTGCCATCACAGCTGTAATGCAATTTAATGTGGTGTCCTTAAGATTGCTACACACACTATAATTTCTCATATACAGCTGTCAGCAATAACCTTTTGTGTCAGCAGAGAGAAAAAATCCCTGAAATACATATTTGTCAAACATAAACATGTAGACCTTAAATCCTGTCTAACCACATACAACTGCATTTCTCTCATCTCAGGTGTAGTGGAGGATTGTGCTTTTTGTTTGTAGGTAGAGCAGAAGCAGCTGGCAGGGCGTGTGCAAGTAGGATCTCAGGAAATTCGCAGTCCAGCCTTAGTTCTGCTCACCTGGTGCATGCAAGGACTTGGCACCCTCTGCAGTCCTACATATGCAAAGAATATGAAATATTTTGTATTCTTATCATTCAGTTTTCCTTCTTTGATTCTGAACACAGATAGCAGCTTAACCTAATGAGAAGTCAGAGGAAAAAACCCTAAAAAGATGGTGTAAGTCAAGAACAGATGAGGACTGCAGCACTCGTGAATTGCAAACACCCAGCAGTGTGTGTTTCACTTCCTGCTGCCTCTCCTACTGTCACAGACCAATTTATATTTTGCACCTCAACAGGAGATGCCCCACTGCCAGCAGAAACTTTTAATGATCCTCAGCTTCACATGATGCTCTGGAAACAAGCTCTGAAGAATGCGAAAGATTTTGCAACATATTATTTCTATAAATAAAAATGTATTTCTCACCAGGAATTCATATTCAGATACTCTTCCACATTTTAACATTGTGGGATTTTTTTCTCTTATGGATATGTGTTACCTGTTATTCATGTGCTGTTAGCTTTTCCAGATATCTCTTTGTCTTGTGAACTCTGGTAAGCAGTAGTATTGTCAGTGGGATTTTAGTTTATTGATTTGTGTGAAGATTCTTCCTAGTTTCCTTCTACTTTTGAAGTTGTAATGAGTCCTTTCCAACCTGTAATTAATACATTATCTGAGCAGGAAGATGGACATATTGCAATAAGAAAGCTTCAGGTAGCAAGCTACTCACATTAATGTCCATAGTTGCACATTGTGTGGTACCCCGGCATTACAGCCTTTTTGGACGATCCAGATTTTAAAGTGCTGTCAGAGGACAGGCCCTAGAGGCATACAAAACCACATTTGCAATTTAGTTAGGTACAAAAGCTGTTGGTCTCTGATGCTGCATCAACATTAGTGTTTTAGCTGGGATCAGCAGCAGGCTTTCAACTGAGATGTCCTAGATGTCTACAGTTTCTGTGTCTTGGTATTCACCTTGAGGTGCCCTTGGTGTGCACGACCTGGATTCCTTTCAGATAACACCAAAGTGGAAGATGCACTCCAGGAATGCTCATGATGAGCTACAGCTGCAAATAGTATCGGGCCTGTGGATCACATTAGAGCCAGTCCAAAATTTAAAACAAACAAAGACCAAAAAAAACCCTCAAATGTGTATAATGTTGCTGTCAGGTCCTAAGCACCAGGTGCTTTGTTCTACACATCTACTCCTATTGCGAGTAGATGTGCTTCTACAATGCTCTAATGTACATAGTACCCAAGACGTGAGTTCAACTCAGCACTTTGCATAGCCTGCTGTACTAACTACACATATTTATCTGGGGTCTTGAGCACAAGTGAAAATTCAAGCACCATCCAGCTAAGATCTGAGTCACTGGATCTTGTTAAGAGCCACAGACCCAGATATCATTAACTTCAGTTTTCCATAAGGAATGAAAACAGTGTAAGAATGATCTCAAAAACATAATTTCCTTGGAAATGTTGTGTGAAATGATAGGATTTACATACAAATGTAACTAGCCGGGCTCTCTAGACGGTATTGTGAAGAGACCCACCAGACATTTGACAGTGAGCTCAATGTAGAGTTAAAAATACAGGACAAGGTGGAGGTGGGAGGGGTTGGAAAACTTTCTGAAAACTATTTCATGGAGCTTGTCTGGCATTTTTCATTTTTAAATTATGCACTTGAAATTCTGTTCAGCACAGCTGAAGAAAAACTGAGAGAAGGGTAGCCAGGGAGACATCCCCACAAATCTTACCAAACCTAATAAATAATGAAGCTTAGTACCCGGGAATCCCTGACTACAGCAAATCCTTTCCCAACTAGAGCGCCCCACAATCTAGTTTGGTGTTCCAAGGTAAAATGCAGATAGCATTTATTCTGAAATGGGAGTCTGCAAACCAGTTTACAAGGAAACCGGCTTCACTTGTCTCCCTCAGCTTCCTGGACGCGTAGTAACCGAGACGTAAGAGATTATGTCTCTTTGGCTGAGAAGCAGACAGTGGTGTTACATCTGAAGATGGTACCTTGCCAGTGCTACCTATGCTTAGCAGTGCAGGTCAAGGCTTTAGCACATTTCTAAGCCTATTGCTTGAGGCAGAGTAAGGGGGTTTTGCAATTAAATCCCACAGTCAATTGATGCTGAACGTGACCATGGATGTGGGACTGCATGGAGAAGAGAGTATACTATTGAAACAGTAGAGATTCTAAAGACATCATATGTTAGTTGCACATGTAATTGCATCAGTTAAATTATTAAATTATATTAATGATCAAGTCTCTTTGGATATAAGTTGGTATCTAGTTTGGTTCATGAGGAAACTGTCCCTTGAGCAAGGAGCAAGCTAGCATCACAAATTGGTCCATCCCTTTTTCTGGAACATCTGTGTTCAACCACCTTGGAATCATAGAAAAAAGTGGGGTCTAACCCACCACTCAAGGCGGGATCAACTCTGAAGTTTGACCAGGTTGTTTAAGGTTATGTTCCAAGGTGCCAGAGAAGCATAACTGACCCATGATTTTACTGCAAAGGCCAGACCTAGAGTTCTGAGGAGATGAACTTAGATGAAGCTCAGTAGCCTGAGGTAGATAGTGCTCATCATGGATAACAGTCTCGCAGTCTTTCTCATCGTATGTTAGTGGGATTAGCGGTCTAGTTTGCCAAGTTTTATGTAATAGGAGGACTTCTAGCTAAGATAAGATCAGCTAGAGAGCGACTCACTTGACAGAACTGAGTCTTAGGTTATTTCATGCCTTGGCTGATATCATACAGGTCACCTGCACAGTGCTGTGCTGCTAAGAGGCCTTGCTGAATTTCAGAAATGTATATACCTTACCTAGTCTCTGTTTTCCTCACCTGCAAATTTAGTTCATTTTTATCCCATCTATCTTGGCTCCAGCACTCCCTAAAGCTGTTTGGCGTTTTTTTATGCTTCCCTTTTATGAATGCTGTGCTTAAGCAGTATATGGATAGCAAGCACATAGCTTTTGCAGATCATAATATTCTTTATTTTGTCAATGTAGTTCATTTAGAGGCACTTTAAGGAAACATTTTCCTGCAGGTTGCTTGCAAAAGGAGATTGCTTTGGGTCGTTTCTTTATATTCAGTTTATCTTGACTTTTACATGAAGTTCAAACATACATTGATAATACATGGAAATGGTCAAAAGGAGAAATTAAAACTGCTTGCATATGCTTTTTGAAATGTGTTTCTGCTCTGAAAAGTAATTATGTGAATTTGACCTGGCCTCACTTAGCTCATCTTCTCCCTGAGAGTCAGGTCTGCTGACATTAGCGGAGTGGTTACTGTTGTCAGAATGGTCTTCCTGGCTACTCTCTGAGAGACTGAATTAAATTTGAGATTTTATGCATCATCAGTAGATTATTTTTTTCCCTGTAAATTCTAATTGCAGGAATACATCAAGCACTCTTGTGCCTTCAGGATATGGTTGACAGCACTGCACAAGTGTGACTGAGATCCCGATAAGCAAGTGAAATGACATGGATGCATAAGTTTACCGAAAACAGAACTAAGAGAATTTTGCTGGTGTGACAGATGGAACAAAACTTCGGTGACTATGGATTGAGAATGCTTTGGCATCTATTACCGGTAAGAATGCCATGTGAATTCCTGTGTGTCTGGATGCATGGTGCACATATGTACACCTCTGAATTTTTTTCTGATCCCATGAAGAATCCCAGGGACATGCGTTTGGCCATATTTCTTATTTATTTTTAAAATTTGGGCATCATGAGTTTGAATGTGCAAATTTAGGCTTACAAAGACCAGATTTGTCTTTTCAAAAATCAAGGGTTATTAGAGGAACTTCCTTTTCCCCTTGAAAACTGCCATGAGCTACCACAGAATGGCTCTTGGCTTGGAAATGTATGACTTGAATTGTTAATTAGTGTTTAGGTTTGTACATGAAAAGCTGATATTCTCTGTCTCTCTGAAGGAAGAGAGGCTGATGACCATTTTAGAACCAGTTCATTTCCAATCTGCTCTCTGTTTCCACCACTGATGCTCCTACCTTGCATGTGACATGAACCAGCTGTTACTCAATTTCACAAAAGAAAGATGCAGAGTCAGTGATTGTCAGAAGATTGTGTGCATTCCAATTTGCATAGGCTTCTCCTTCATTTCAGCTTCCTTCCCTTGCCTAAAGAAACTAAAATGTGTGAATTCAGAAGCACAATGATACCAGTATTCCCTCCCTTAATACAATTTATACTCCTCCTTTCACTGAATCAGAAATACATGATCAAAAACCCAGATATTTTTTTAAGAATAACAGGTAGCCAAGGGGATTTTATTACATAACAAATAGTAACAATAAATATGATCCATGCTTAGACTGTAACACAGGTGCTTTTCCACAGAATATAGACCCTGAAGTGATAAAAAGAACTTAGTAAATGGATAGTATTGGAGTGTGTCAGGAAGTACGCTGCAGGTTTTATTAATGCTAATAGGTGTTAAGAAAACACAATTTTTGTCAGTCCTTCTCCACATATAGTTTCAAACCTTTGCATTGGAATCTTGCTGTAGAAATAAACCTGTTTAAAAGAATTTACTTCTGTGGCATAGCATGCCTTAAAATTTAACCAAAAGCCAACATGATAAAAAAATTGATCTGTTCAGTGAAAACATTTCTTTGCCTTAAACTGAAATGTGCGTTCTGAAAGAGCATGGTTTGTGAATTGGAGATCCACGAAAGGAACAGACCTGCTAAAAGAATAACATTTTGGTGAAACAGGCTTATTTGCTTAGCAGCTTTCTCCTGCAGTTAACATATGTGGCAAACGTGTTTATTTAATGTGACAGTCTGCTCAAATAACCCTCTCTCAAGAGTGGGATTATATAATCTGGAAATAGCAGAGTTACAATGAGATTAAAAATATTTAATGTCCTGTTTATCCAAAATGCCAGCAGCACTGCCTCCTCCTTTTCTCTGTACTTCATGCTGACTGTAAATGATCTGCTTGGGCTCTGGTGTCCTTAAATTAATGAACTGAGAGCACCTTTCAGCATCGGACTGCAGTTTGGAACAAAAGAAAAAGAAACTGAAAGAAACCCTGAGGAAGAGTGTTCGTGTAGCAGCAGTACTGAAAGAATTTGACCTCCTCAGGCGCTGTGAGTTGGCAGTTGCATTGGTCCTACAAGACTGAAGCAAAGAGAGTGCTAAATAGAAAGGCATAAAAAAATAAAGTGACACAATTTGTAGTCAGGGCTCAGCCAGACCCTTGGGTTTGCCTAATCAGTGATTAGCCCATGTTCACTTGGCTCTATTGATACCACTTTCTCCTGAGACACACGCTGGGGACCTTCTGACCAGCAAATTGGCTTGGGCTGAGAAAAGGGACCCAGACAGCACGGTCTACTGCCCGCTAAAGAAAATGCCACATGAGACATCCTGAGCAGGCTGTGGCTTCAAGTCACAGCAGCTGCCCTCAGATGGATACTGTAAACATGATTTGGACTTGAACTGCTATTTTCAGGAATCTCTGTGCTGGTGAAGGTGTGAACCTGTGTCAGCCAAGCCCCTGCCATTGTGCCTGTCCCATTCTGCACACCTCTGTCGGAGGCTTGCTCCCTCCAGCCTCCTCAACAGTGTGTAAAAAATACACAAATTGTTTTCACCTCATGTTGTCGTACGAACAAATAGAAGGGGAGGGTGGTCTATTATCTGCTAGCCAATGGGTAAACAGAAATGACTGGCCCAGCACACATCAAGGGTGGGGAGTTGGCATGGACAGAGAGACACTCAACAGATGGTAGCCAGCAATAACATTACAAGGAACAAGGAAGGTGATGCAAGCTTCTTGGAGCAACTGAGACTTCTAAGACCCAGAAAAAACTAGTGGTGTTGCTGCTCCCTCCACCAGTAATTTCTATTTCTATTTTCTATTTCTTTCATTTCTATTGATTTAATTGACTTGTTCCCCAGAGTGCCCAGCCTGTGAGCTGTTGCCTTGCTGTTTGTCCCTAAGATCATTTCTGCATCGTCCACAGGAGGATGTGGAAGGGCAGGGAGAAGGGTGCTGTGTGCTTCTCCATAGGCTGGTTTGAGACATTGGATCCCTGAAGTAAACTCAAAACACAACCTTCAAATCAGAAATCATCTATAAAAATAGACTTCTCCCTGCAGCTGCTTAGAGAGAGGAGCAGGTGAAACAAATCTGGTGATGGTTCTACCCTGCATGCCCTTAAAAAGGTTCAGAGTCATAGAGAGCTCAAGTGTAGTCTCGCTGTTAAGCCAAGAAACAATATCCAGTTTCAGTTAATTTTAGAGCTGTAAAAAATAATTCTTCCCAATACCTCCAAATGTGGAGATTGACAAAGAAAAGTTTTCATGACTTCTGAGTCTGGTGTTCTCTGTTAGGAGCACTGCCAAAGTGGTTAACTGTTTCACATAGTTGCATATCATTTGGTTTTCTTGAAATAGCAGCTACTTATTTCAGAAGATAAAAAAGTTCATTCTGGGTACCAGTATGAGCAGCTCGTAAATATTAAAAAATAAAAAGCAAGGCCAAATGGGCAGAGAATCTGGAGACTAGAGGGGTTAGACAACTGTATGAAAAGCAGTTGATTTTTCACTAGCTTCTACTTTAGAATTATGAAGGTCAGTCCAGCTTGCATCTCGGTGGTACAGGATCAGGCAGATCAGTGTATATTCTGAAACAGTTTCTTTCTGTGCATGCATTAGCCTGCATCAGCCCATCACAGAATCTTTCTCCATCAAAATTTTATAGGAGAATGGTAAAATGCCCTTACAGCAGACACAGAGTAGTTCAAATCTGTTCTGAACAGCGGAGCGATGGTGTCAGTTTGTACTACATAGTTTTGGCTCGAATAAGCATGCAGAAAATTTTTTACATTATTCTGATGATTTGGGAATGGAGGTGATAAAGCACTATTTGATAGAGTCATGATTGCATTGACTGCAAAGTGGCATACTGCTTTTAACCAAGGAAGTTTGTATAATGTCTTTTGTGCCCCATATGATGCAGCAGGACACTTCTCTGCTTTTACTAGTTTACTGCTTTCTCTCTCTCATGAAGATAATCCTAATATTACAGCATTGCTAATTTACAAATGTCATGAAAAGAATTCATCTGGAGTTGCTTTAGAGACAGCTGTTGAAAATCATCAGTGTGGTCCTAAACAAGGCAGGAAATAATACCCAGTTGCCTGAATTGAAAATTTAGCACAGTACTTGTTAACGAATTTTGGGATTGTGATGCCAAACTCTTTGAAATATTTGAATCTTTGGCAGTGCTGGAAAGGGAAGTGAATCAGCCACGTTCTGGTGACTTAGAATTTGTTTATATCTCATAGATTGCCTAGGAGATTACAGGAAAGAAGTCTGCAATACAGTGTGTGCTACAGTAATGGGTAATCCTTGCTAATAGTTCAAGAACACTCTATAGGGTGTAGTTATCATCTGAGTAGATTACAAGATTTTTAGAGTATGAGAAACTTCCTGACCAGTTTTTCTTAACTCAGCTAGGAACACAGGGCAGTAATCCAGCTGAAAGTCATACTTTCCCTTCATGACTAAAATACGGGGGAATTGAATAGGACTGTTTGGGGGATTTGCAATTCTACTTTGTATTGAGAACAAGAGTCAGGAGTCTGTATAGGAAAGGGAAACTTGTGTGTGAAGGAGCTGGTACCATTGATCTCTGATAGATGAAGCTAGGAAAATGTTGTCTAGCCAGATTGCACGTGCACATATGGAGAGCTAGTTCCCCTCATGCCTCCTTGGCCCTGTTGGAAAACTTGAGAGCAGAGCTAGGTCAGGGGTTCCAGACCATAAGCCAAGGCAGGACTTGTAGTGATCTCCAAGGTTTTATTCATGTTGAAGTGTTACTATCTTGTGCTGCTTAGTTTTGTGTCATTCCTCTTCCTCCTTCCCTTGCGCATCACTTCAGATTCATTCCACTTGTGCACCTCTTACCCTTTTTCTTGGTTTTCCTCTCCTGCCCTTCCTATTTATTTATGTTGCATTGAATTTTCTCCTTTACTTAAATTATGGCAATGTTACGCTGTTTGTTTCCATCAGCTTGTCTGTTCTGCTGGGCTATTTTACTCCTTTTCCCAGCTATAGAAGTTCTTCTATCTAATCAGGTAGTGATCTCTGTTGCTCTGTTTGTTCAGTGTTTAGCACAGTGTGTCCCTGTTCTTGATTATCTCTAAGGATCCATGCCTGTAAAAGTTACAATTTCTTAACAGTAGTCATGCTTGAGGATGCTGAAGTAGGATTTTCTACAGCCCACTGTAAAGTACCCCAATTACAGCCTGCCCACTTGGGAGCACACTGCAAAACATTTGTAAAATTGTGAGGAACAAAGTAAGGAACCAGATCCTTTCCCTTCTTACATAGGAAAAAAAAAAAAAACAAAAACCAAAAAAAAAAAAAGCCAAACAAACAAAACAAAACAAAACAAACAACAATAAACAAACAGACAAAAACACACACAAAAAAAAAAACCACAACCTTTTCTTTGGTCAGCACTATGCTGGCAGAACCTCCATTTTAAACACCTTCCAAGAGTGATTGTGAAACACTGAGAGAACATAGTATCTGTCGCTTCTCTGAGAACCTG